TATCATATAGATTATAAATAAATTTATTGTATTAGAAATGACTTCGTAATACGGCATTTCTTTTCATCTAACGCTTTTAGATGATATAATCTATTAGTATTTTACTTTCATAATATTAATATTTTAAAATAATATATGTATATATAATAACAAAAAAAATTATTTGTTTATAAAAAAAGTATATAATTCTGATATATGACTTGCAGAAAACGTTACCGTCCAATTCAGTATAATATGCAAAATATCTTGCTTCTTTTCAATCATTAGTCATTAAATATGTGACGACAAAAATTGAAGATCAAAAATTTAGTATTCTAGGTGATCTTGTGCGTAGCGATGCGAATTATCGCGATATTAATAATTTGATAAATGACGATAATTTTGTTCTCCAATCGCAATTTTTCTTTGCCTGACTCCCAATCTACTTTAATACCAGAGTCTCGTCTCTAATAAACCGAACGTGCACATCTATTTACTCTACGCTTTCAGGTCACTTTTACGGCGCTTTTGAGCAATCGCGCAAAACAGCTTATATCTACCTATTACGTACGTCGATTTAGGTACGAGCGCGCGCGTAACTAGAGGAGAAAATACGGCGATCAAATATTTCCTTTAAGGAAGAGACGCAAACGGGATCGTGCTAGGACGATTAAAAGAACGCTCCGAGATTGTTCGTTATGCGCTCTTATTCGTGAATTCTTGTACGATTATCCGGCACTTCACACAAACCGAAATGGAAATTGTACGCGTTAATTACTTGGCGTAATTATAACGATAATTACGCTTATGAAAAGAAAGCTCATAGAGATAATTAGTAAGCGGCTTTATATTACAGTGATAAATAAATTATATGCATGACAGACATCGTATAATTTTTCCTATTACAATACAATGTCCAGAATGAATACGAAAAATAACGAGAAATATCTTGTAATGCATGTACAGGCGACGCTATTTTTCTCTGACGTCGCATTCCATCGTAGCGGGAGAACCCGCTAGAAACGTTTTCCGGCAAAAGAGATGTCTCGCACCTCGTTCTAACGCGGAATGTCTAACTTTGTCGTAAATTCCGCTCCGACTCCTGTCCTACGGAACAACAAGAATTATTAACGTCGCGCATTTACCGTCCTCGTCGGTGGACAGTTTACACGACTTTCACGATATATGGTCTATAACGTTAAACCCAGCTCTTTATTATGCACAATCGTTCGCTCCTTGAAATCGAATTCATGTTATAAAGTGGAAAATTAAAAATTAATTAATCAATTATCAAATCTTATCCGCTCGAAATATTGCGATACGTTTATAAGAAAAAGACTGTGCAAAAGAAAGAAAAATTGAAGAAGGAAGTGTACACACATAACTTTCATTACTTGATTAGTCTGCTAATATCTAAGAAATCAGACCAACGATTTGTGATGGTTGACGCAGAGTAACCTTTAACAAGGTAAGAAGTGAATTCTGCAGTAAGTAATCTCTATAGATAAAAATGCTGTTGGTGAGAGGCGAGAAAGTAAGAATGAGGAATAAAACGTTAGAAGAGAATTGAGCATGTTATGCAAAAAGTTAATACTTGAACTGAGTAGAACGAAGAAAGTGAGGCTGACAGAGAAAAGAAAGAACTCTAAGAACTTCGCGTATGTTTACCAAGCCACTGTTGTTCTAACCGGATTAATAGCAAAGTGAAGTTCGTTCGTAGAAATGGACAGCTCCGGCGCTTTCCCATCCTTTTTCGCGGGATATAGCGGAAGACAGTAATTAACGACTTGCTGAACGATGAGAAATAATGAGTGCCAGACAGTTGAGCTTGCAAACCCTTGAAGCTTTCCTAACTTAACTGTTTGCACGAACGGAGGCAAC